CGAGCCGTTCTTAAGTCAAGACCCCACTGTACAAGGCTGGGAATGGTGAGGGGAGATCCCATGAGCTATGCAGGACCACTGACAACTGATGAGATCTCTGGCATGAGACCACAAATGCCCAACTCTCATGGCTCCTGAAGGAGGCCAGCAAGGGGGGGGGGCAAGGCGCTGCTAGAAGATCTTGCTCCCCTTCCAAGGAGGCTCAAGTTTCCAGATCTGGGTAAGTATACACTTAGTAATGGTCAATCGACCGATTCCTCCCTTAAGGCAATTATCTGCTCTGTCCCTTCTATGTTGCAAGAACCATTTAAGCGCCAAAGCAGCACAGCTATACTGTCAAGCACCATTATCCATACATTTGGTGCAGGAGTGACCTCAGTCAAAGCTCACCGAAGAGAGTTGGAGAGTGAGAGCAAAATGCAGCCAGAAAGGGAAGCAAGAGATCATACATTCAGGACTGTCCCCTTCTTCTCCCTCAGCTTGTTTTTAACAGTCTTGACATCATACACAGCACTAAGAGGTCTGTCTCTTTGTGGCAGAGTAATCAACACTGACCAGTGACAACACAGTCACAGGAAGGATCAAAGTGTCCCATGACAAACAAGTCAGTTAGATGGCCAGTTCCCACCACCATCAAAACACTCCCCCCCCAAAAAAAAATCAAAACAGAAAAGCAGAAACCCGAGTGTGGGAATTTTTCTATGTTGGATTACATATATAGGCACCTGCTTAACAACCCTTAACCTAGAAACCCTACAGACAGTCCCCTTCTTCTCCCTCATCTTGTTTTTAACAGTCTTGACCTCATACACAGCACTAAGAGGTCTGTCTCTTCAGTTGCTCCATGTTAAAAGAAAAGCAGTAACCTCACAGCTGGCTTTTGGACAGAGCAACATGGGGGGGAGGCGGACCGCTCCCCACATTTGGGGGTGGGGGCCTGGCCCTCTTTTTCAATCACAAGCTGCCACTGATTAACCCCTACCCACAACAATACCTGTTTAAGGGTCAGGTGGAAAGCTGCTGTGGCTCGAGCCATCTCTGGGAGGACAACAGGGATTTTTAGCAATCTCTCTGAGAAGGCAGCCAGGATCTGCCCGGCTTTCTTCACCCATTCCTTGTGGCCAGTGTAGCAGGCTGCACGTAGCAGGTTAGTGACAGCCACAGAGTTTGGACTGGGCTCTGCGCCATCTTGGTCTAGGAAGAGAAAAACAATGGCCAATCCGTCAGAAGTCTAGGGGACCACAGGCAGCATTCACCAGAATGACACACTGTTAAGATATAAGAATAACAAGAGGAGAAGGTCAGTGCTGGATCAGACCAATGGCTTATCTAGCCCAGCATTCTCTGACAGCAGTGGCCAACCAAAGCCGACTGGCATGTTGTCCAGCAACAGAATGTGCAGTAGTGGCACACTCTCTTCAACAGGTGACATACAGGCACCCAGGCTTGTAGCCGCTTGTAACCTTGTTCAGCAACCATTTGTCTCTCTTTTGATCACCATAGTAAACTCCACCATTTACCAAAAGACCACCTCCTGTATGTGGTCTGATGTCACAAAAATGCTTTTTTAAACAAGAGGGGCAGGTGCACAGAAAGCTGCAAAGATGACACCTGTGGCGGAACACAGAATTATTCTTTGTTGTATGAAACCACAGCAAGAAACCTCTGGTTCAAGTGTTTTTTCCTCATTGTGGAATGGGGGTGGGTGCGAAAGGTATAACATGCCTCTTAAAGACAAGGCAATGTGTTTTTAAATATTGTGCCACCGAAGAGAAAGGGGATAGATGTGATAGCCCCAGGAGAATTCCAAAAGGACCCAGCAGAAACTCTGGCCCAGGGGGTCCCTGAAGTTCTCAGGGCTTTGGAGAACTGAGTTTCTAGAGGGGTGGAAACTCTTCCCTCCTTTACCTTCTGAGGTCTCGTGTGAAGGACCTGCTTGTCTAAGGGCTCATCAATTCCCAGTTGGAATGGCAGACATCCCTGTCTCTGAGAGAAACCTACGTACCATCCTTCATGCGGAGGAGCAAGGAAGGGTCGGCAGCCTCCGTAGAAAAATAGGCGAAGCCCTTCGGGTCCCAGAAGAGCTCATCCTGCTTGTGCTGAAGCTGCACAGCCCATTCCAGCCACCTTGGATCCAGCGAGGCCTCGTAAAGGTCAAAGAGGGCTTGAATGACAAAGACGTAGTCCTCTAGGAATCCGTGGATGGGAACGGAGCTGGGCAGGAGGTCAACAAGGATGCAAAGAAACAGCATTATAAGAGGCATGCCCCATCTACCACCTCTAAACCTCATTAATGCTATCAGATGCCTTGCACACCTATGGTCGGGTCGAGCATGTCAATCCCATGGCATGAACTGCAGGATATCTCAGAGGTTGAGGGCATCTGGCTGCAGAGCCAGAGGTTGGGAGCTCCATTCCCCACTGTAGCTCCTTAACCGGGGCTGGACCCAATGATCCATAGGACCCCCTCCTCTAGCCCTGCAGTTCTAAGATGATGATGATTTCTGACTAAATTAGGAAGAACATTCTGACAATAAAGAGTTATCCCACAGTGGTATGGATTACTTGGGAAAAGGACAAAGTCAGCTATAAGTAGGTTCTGTATTAGTCTTAGGCAATTCTTCTTCAGGCGATACAAATGACGATTCAGAATGGTTAATAAACGAACTTTTATTAATACAACTGTTTGTGTCATCCTTATTAACCTCAACAGAACTTTGTATTGTTAACTGGGGAGGGGAACTCTCCCAAAGACCATAACAATGACTTTTCATTATTTCCTTTAGTAGTACGTTTTTGCCTTTATCTCCTCCTCGGTCGGTTGCCTCAGGAAACCGTTGCGCACCACACACAAAGTCCCGCAACATGGGTGACGGGCCCAATCTGCCTCTTTCATTGACTCTTTCTCCAGAGTAGGATCCAATTGGTGTACCAATTGAGCGGGACCCCGACTCTTGGGGTACACCAACACCATCCATTCTTCTGGACTAAGACTAGGTATTATGGGTCTTACTTTTCCACCTGATGAACTTTCTGCCTCCTCGTCAATCATGCTAGCAGCTGTTCTCTTCACAGGCACGGCAAAAACTTGTACATCTTTGTTGGTTTTATCTGCTAAGGTTTCTCTGATTTCAGTTATTTTCTCTGTCTCCTTAGACTCTGTTCCTTCTTCCGTAGTCAGGAACACATCTAGCTTCTCTCTTTCGGGTTCCCCCTCCTTCTTGTCTCTTGCCTCAGGACTGCCTCTAACTGCCCTGACTGTTTTTCCCCCTCATGAGGGGGAACCTCATGAACCTCATGAGTTCCTTTGTCTCGAGCCCTCACTACCTCCATCGCACGGTATTCTTCCTTCTTTTCTGCTTGTGCTTCTGTCTTTGGCTTTCTTTCTTGCTCTGGCACTATATCCCATGTTGGGCTTATAGTCTGATCTATCCTAGTTGTTTGAGGGGACGGCTCACTCTCTCGCATTTTCTCTATCTCCTCCTCGTATCAGCTCCATTAGAAAGGATGATGCAGGTTCTGTGGCCATCTGTCAGGGATCCTTTAACTGTAGGTCCCTTCACTGCCAGGGGGTTGGAGGGGACCCTACGGATCCCAACTCTACATTTCCGCAGGAGATTCCCTAACTAACCGAACGGTTAAATCAGGATCAAAGGCAGACATAACCTCCAAAAGCAAGGCAGAACGTCCCTCTCCTGGGCCGTCATCATAATGATTTCGACCCTCTCTCCATGGTGAGAATGAGATTATTAGAGAGAGACTGTGTGTTGTGCTGGGAATTGAACGCCACACACACCAGAAGCTATTGCTCAATCTGCAGGAGATTGTTGCTTAAATCTCTCCTGGACAATATAGCTGTGTTTTATCGTCTTCGGATATTTTATTAGAAAAGCCGTATACAATATTTTAAAACAAGACGGTTAAAGAAAAAGAGATTACTGTTCCCCCAGGCTGCTTAGTGAAGGCAAACCCCTGACAGGTCTGGAATATAGCGACGGAGACACCTGCCTGCCTTCCAAGGTGAAAACTGTGGGGCAGCAACCCCGCGGGCGGCCTCCATCTTATCTGACTCAAGGCAAGCAAATTACTAACAGAACCTCCGTCTCCACTCAAGTGGCCATGAAGAGGTGACTGGAGGGAAGGGGAAAGGCAAACAGCTGCCTGAGAGCAACTATTGCTGCTTGAAAATTCAAACACAGTAGTGACATACAAAGCCATGTCTTCGACTTCTTCCCACACCATGTCACCTCCTTTCTCCCAACGTCTCCAGTCATTTAAGCAAAACGTCCACCCTGGCCTGCAAGAGGCAGGTCCAGAGCTGAGTGCCTGTCAGCATTAAGCATGCAAGTAAATCAAACAGGTGCCCTAATCGCTGTTGACACAAGCTTAATTTGAGTTTACTGGAGCCGGCTTTGGGAAGGCATAGATCACGAAGGGGTCCAACTGGGGCTTCGGAAGCTTCTCTTTATAACAAGCTTGATGTCAAGCTAGTACATTTCCAGAACTAACCCCAATCCCAGTGAAGCAACTTTTGCAATGCTATGGAAAGTCAAATGGCACAACATTCTTCCTTGTGGGAATGGCTGGCTGTGTATCTCAGTGTCACCTCATACATAAAAGCAAATGTCTATTGCATCTCATGACGATGTGACCCCTCTGGACAGACTCAGTAACATGCCTGAAAGCTCAGACATGAACATAAAGCCATGCTCATCAACCAATGACCAATTACAAAATAAGGCAGGCTAATTGGCCAGAGGCAGACCTAGGCAAGATCATGTTAGAGTAAGTAGACAACCTTTTCCTCTTAAAAGAGCTCTGCTTCTAATGACACATTAACTATTCAATCTAATTTGGCCTTCAGTAGAAGGAACGTGCATATTTTGGTCTTCTTGTATGCCTATGTGCGTGTACGCAAGCATGTACGTTCCTGGATTTTCTACCATACACCTGTATACACACACACCTGCACAGAATTCCCATGTTTATCTGCACTTAACTGCCGCTGTCAAATACAAGTTTATTCTGTGTGGTGGTCACAAGAGGGAGCTATGAGCTGGAAATCCCCAAATGAAACAGGACCTCAACCATGAACTCACTAGATGACCCCAAACAAGTCGCTATATTTCAGTCTCAACCCACTGGCTGTAATATAAGGCTACTAAAACAAGCCAGCTTTATACAGGCTTTGCAAGAGGGTGTCAAGTTAATGCATGTACAATACTTTAAACATGGGGAGGGGCACACACATCATTCTACATACAATATATCCACTGTATCCACATAATTATGTGTACATAGAATTTTTTATTTTTATTTTTTAACAGACTCTCTGACAGAAGCAAGGCGAGAGCCCCTGCTGCTACGGAAACTGAAGTTCCTCCCTCACTGTCACAAAGAAGGTCACACGCCTCCACGCTCGTTCCCCTTGAGAATCCAGAGACATTAATTTCAGTGGAAGTTTCACCACTGCGTTCCGTGGAAGGCGCAGTTTGCACCTTGAGTTTAAGGACACAGACAGGGGCCTAGAATCATTCTATTAAAACCAATTGTAACAGGGCATCCATCCAAGCTCCTGGTTTCACACTCAGACAAAGGCAGCTCTTCGACAGGTTCCATAATGAATTGCAACCACCTATTCTTAATCCGGATGGGCCAACAGCAAAAGTGGAGTAGGAGCAGGGAGTCTTCGAGGAGAGACGCAACAGCCAGGGGCCAAGGAGAAGACAAGGCAATCCTCTGCATGGATGACTGGGGCTGTCCCAGGGAGTGCTCTGCCTCACGCATTTGACTTGCTTTTGAATCTGTTCACACACTTGCAAGCAGGGAGGAGGAAATCAATTAAGTTTCCAGAGGTCTTGGACTACGACTCCCACAAACTCACATCGCTGGCCATGCTGGATGGAGCTGAGGAGAGCTGTGTGCCAAAACACCACCAGCCTTTGTCCAGATGTTGAGACCAGCAGCTGAAGTCTTTTGGAGCTGAGTAACAGATGCAGCAACCTGCTTGACAAGCTGAGGACTTCCTCCCACATAGCTCCCAAAACGGTGGAACTCCCTGCCTTCAAGAAGCAGGGTCGGTTTCCACTCTCATTGTTTTTAGGAAGGGTACAAACACACCTCTTTTTAAACTGACCTTTAAACCAGGGTGATGGTTTTGAAGGTCTGCAGACCTTCTGATATGAATGGCTTTGATGCCTGTGTTTCACTTATTTGATTCTAATGATTCTGAACTTGTTTTGATTACTTTTCATGATGATTGGAAGCTGTTCTTGAAAGATGGGATAGAAACTCAAAAAGCAGCAGCAGCAACATCTGGGAGGCCAAAGGAGTCCCATCTCTGATCAGAAGAGCACTGGCGTTATCCCAGCTCCTCCCTAGGGTAACTCAGCCCCACACCACGGAGGTATCTCGAGGATGGCATACTGCTGAGGTCCCTTTGTCCATCTGACCCACTGCTGCCTACTTTTGATGGGGAGCAGCTCTCCAGGCTCTCAGACAAAGAAAGGTTTCCCCACCACCACCTGTTCTTTGATCCTTCACAGAAAGGACCCCAGAAACTGAACCTGGGAGATTCTGAGCTCAAGGCAGCCGCTCTGCCTTGGAGTTACCCCTTCTCCACTTCCTCCAGGCACATCAATTCTTTCCTTGCAGACATTGGTCTTGTCTGGGATTGCTGACCACTTACCCCTTGTCCACGGAGTTGCCCTGGCCCCGATAGCAGGTTCGGATCAGCTTTCCGTCGTTGCTGTTAAACATGTGGTCCTGCAAGAAGGAAGCTGCCTGCACAGCCCGGTCCGTGTATTCTTTCTTGCCCAGGATGGCTCCGCTCTGAGCAAAGCCAGAGATCATCAAGCCTATGAGAAGGAGAAAGGCAACGCAGGGGAGGATAGGCATGTATGGATTGACATTCGCCCCAGAATTCCATGGGAGCCTCACTTCTCCCAATATTCACAAAAGGACAAGACAGACCGGTTGACGTGGGGCTCCCAACGTCCGGTTGAACACACCACGTTCTGATTAAAATGACTGTTTATAGCAGGGGTGGGGAAATATTGCAGGAGTACAGCTCCGGCCGGCGTCAGCCAGCATAGCCAATGGTCACAGATACTGGGACAGGCAGTCCAACAACAGCTAAAGGGCCATGCTTATGGACCCCTGGATTCCAAGGAGGTCCTTCAAAAGCAGATTATACATGACAAACCATCCTGTGCCGCATGGGAAGCTACCACTGGGTGTAGAGGCACTGCATTTACTGCAGAAAGAGTTCTACCACTGTTGTATTCCTTGTCAGAAATTTGGGAGAAAGAATAGGAATCCAGAATTGACTCATCCCTCGGAGCAGACAAAGGGCACAGCAATAAACGTTGAAGAGCAGCTACTCATCACAACATTCTGCACAGCCACACCCTCCACAGAGAGTAAAAAAAGGCAGGCATCTACGCTGATCTGTATCAAGCGTTCCAGGAGTTCTCACCTCTACAAAGAGCATGGCTTTTGTAAAGCTAATGGGTCTCGACTGCACACTCAAGACTAAGCCGTTCCAAAATATCTGGCATTACAAATGGTTCAAAACCATACACTATTACTTTGAACATTTATTCCAATACACATATACCACACCTCAGCCGCTGTGAAGTTTGCAGTTAAACTGAGAGGGAACAGGAAAGTTTGGTGGGGTGAGACGCGCTCATCAAAAAAATTCTTGTTACCTCCAACCTGCAATCTCTGGCTCCATTATGCCACTGCTCGTGGAAACTACCGCTTAGTGAAATGTTTTCTTTCCACCAAAGGTAAGTGGCAAACACGTCTTGATGCCTTCAAATGTTATTTCTCCCA